CCACAAGAGTCTCTGTTTATCTGTCTCTCCGTCTGTCTCTATCTTTCTAAACAGGAAGAAATTGCTGGGCTCTGATGTAGCATTCTTGGGGCCATGGATTCTATCCTTTTTTTTTTTAAATTTTTTTTACTTTTAAATAATTTTATACATTCACTTGTTTCCCAGCTGTAGCCCTCTCCCTCTTTCCCTCCCAATCCTCCCCTCCCTCCCTCATCTCCTCCCTGCTCCCTTCCAAGTCCACTGAGAGGGGGTGTCCTCCTCTCCTTCCGTTTGGCCCTAGCTTATCAGGTATCTTCCGGATGGTTGCAATGTCCTTATCTGTGGCCTAGTAAGGCTGCTCCTCTCTCAAGAGGGAGGGGAAGCTCATGAGTTCATGTCCGAAACAATTCCTGTCCCCCTTACTAGGGAGCCCACTTGGATCCTGAGCTACCATGGGCTATGTCTGAGCAGGGGTTGTAGGATTCTATCCTTAGCACTGGGAAGATAAAGAGGAAGAAAGGGAGAAGGAAGGGAGGGGAAAGAGGAAAAGAGAGAGCGAGAAAGAGACAGGGGGGAGACGGCCCATCTGGTAAAGTAATTGCGCCATGCAAGCATAAGGACCAGAGTTCAAGCCCCATCAGCCATGTAACAAGCCAGGCATGGTCACCCAGAACCCCTGGGCTGGGGAGGTAGTGACAGGATAGTCTCTTGGCTCACTGGCTAGCCAGTCTAGCTGGATCAGCAGACTACAAGTTCAGTGAGAGAAAATAAGGTCAGGAGAAGTTGGAGATTTGGCTCAGTGGTTAAGAGCACTGGCTGCTCTTCTGGAGGTCTTGAGTTCAATTCCCAGCACTCACATGGTGGCTCACAGCAGTCTGTAACTCCAGTTCCAGAGGCTCTGACACCGTCTTGTGGCCCCAGTGGGCACCAAGCATACAAGTGGTACATAGTCATACATGCAGCCAAAACATCCATGCATCATAAATTGTTTACACTAAAAGAAGATTATATGCAGTTGAAGAAAGCATTTGACCTCTGGCCTCCATACGCACTACACATGTACCCATGAAAGGGGAGAAAGTAGGACGAAGGGAGGAAGGGAATTATAGAGTCATTTCGTATATATTTTTGCATGTATTTCTTTTCATGGTCTTAGTAGTCTAGTGAGTCATGTATTCAGATGGGATGAATAATAATGTCGTCAAGTTCAGTAGTAAGATCTTGTTTTCATTTATATAAACAATTACTAATTTTGCACTAGGAAATAATATCTTTTGTTGGGGAGCTGTTTGTGGCCCCTTATCTCATCTGCCAGGGATAATTAGGTTATCTGCTTGGAGGAAATTAGTATCCGAGGATGCATTTTCCCTTTTAATGAGCTCTTTTCTTTGGTCCCCCACACATCTATAGCATTTCAGGCACCTGTGTAGCACGTTGCTTATTGTCTGTGCATTATTTGGCAGACATCTTAAACTTGGTTTGAGCTTCAAGGGTTATAAGTTATGAGTTGCCATTGTAAAATCCTGGAGCAACACAGCTAAAGAGAGAAGAATTCAACCGGTGAATTAAAAGCTGCTGGTGGTGGTGGCGGCACACGCCTATAATCCCAGCACTCTGGGAGACAGAGGCAGGATCTCTCTGCATTGAGGCCAACCTGCTCTACAGAGCGACTCCAGGACAGCCAAGGCTACACAGAGAAACAATGTCTCAAAAAAAAAAAAAAAAAAACAAGGGGGAGGAGAGAGAGAGGAGAGAGATTCCTTTGGCTTAGTTTCTGAGCACTTAGCTGTCATAGTCACTCAGACGCTGCACCTGGGCCAGCTGAGACAGAATATAAGCCATTCGCTTCACGGCCAGCAGGAGACAGAGGGGACCCCTCTTTATTTTATTCTTCCTGGGCCCAAGCGTGTGGGGGGGAGCCACCCACATTCAGGACAGGTCTCCCAGTCTTAGGTGATTCCTTTGGATACGCCTCACAGACAGGCCCAGAGGAATCCCTGCTAATGGAGGAGCTTTTCAGTCCAGTGAGGGCAGCAGACAAGGTTAATGGCCCCTCCAGAGTACAGGGATTTTGATACAAGAAGACTTCATACTTCAGCATTGAGTTCTACTTACACGTTTTGACTTTCACTATTATATAATGAAGTGCTAGTTTTTCTGTATTAACCTTTTTACTCTCCTGATACCGTGAGCTTTCTGCGTAAGTCACATTCTTAGTGTTAGTATACAAACTAGGGAGACTAAAAAGTAAAGGGAATGGTGCCCTAAACAAAGGTGGTATTATTGGCGCAGAAAAGACCCCTAAGGACCGAGTCTTTACTCTGCTGAGGTGGTGTTGATACTGGGGAAGAGTTGAAAGCAACTGGGAGCCAACTGTGATAATAGGTGTGAGCAGGGAAGGGAGCTAGCATTAACAAGCTCCTCAGTTAGGACCCGAATCACAGCCAAGCAAGCGCAGGAGTAATGGCCTTCCAATTCTGGAAGCCAGGAGGGACTCCGCTGTCCCCTGACGCCCCCTGTCCACCAGGCTGAGTGTCTTATTTACCTGTCCTCTATGTCTTTAAAACATCTTCTCTTTTCTTTCTCTTTCTTTTTTTCTAGACAGGGTTTCTCTGTGTAGCCTTGTCTGTTTTAGACTCACTTTGTAAACCAGGCCTCTGAGCGCTAGGATTACAAAGGTACACCACCGCGCCTGGCAATATCTTCTTTTTCTAAAGTCATTAGACTCATTTTAGTTTTGTTCTGATTTATAAACGGATTCTGGATGCAAAGGGACAAGACAGGATAGAAAATATTTTGAAGAATATCATTTTGAAATACGTTCTCAGCAGAACTCTAATTTAGATGCTTATGAGCATTTGGGAGGGTGTGTGCAGAAAGCAGTGAGGGCCCCACCCACTGTTTCCCAAGTTATCCGAGATGGGTTCCCCACTGGATGGATATTCAAAGGCTTCGCTAGTAACTTGTTGGATAGACTGAGTCACTCTTTCGAGTATTGCAGAAGTGACTTTCAGACGTTTTCCTTAAGTCTGTCTGACTGGCGCTTCAGGATCACTTCCTGCTCCAGGGCTGCTGCATTCCTAGACAGATAGCATCGGAAGCAGGAACAGCAGGGTGACCAAGTCCTTCTGTCACTGGGAGCTTCTGGCCTTGGATGGAGGCCACAGCCATAGGGTGGTTAGGCCACAGGCTATCCGGCAATGTGGCAAAGGGATTTTCTTTATTATTTATCTTATTTTTATTTTATGTGCATTGGTATTTTGCCTGCCTGTATGTCTGTGTGAGGGTGTCAGAGCCCTGGAGTCGCAGACAGCTGTGAGCTGTCATGTGGGTGCTGGGAATTGAACCCCGGTCCTCTGGAAGAACAGCCAGTGCTATTAAGCACTGAGCCCTGGTAAAGGCATAAGGCATATCTTAAAGGTCTTGCAAAAGAGGTAGACAATGTGGGTCATGCCTGTAATCCCAGCTTGGCCCGTGGAGGCAGAAGGATAGTTTGTGAAATGATGTCTCAAAAAATAAAACAAAATGAAACTTAAAAGGGCTGCGGAACTTGGTTCAGGGGGTAAAACACTGTCACTCAAGCATGAAGGCTGGAGCTCAGCTCTCTAGCACCCATTTAAAGCCAGGCTTGGTGACCCCTGCTTGTGGCCCCTGCATTGTGGGGCAGACACATTGTGGGGTAGATGTTGCTCCAGGGCTCACTGGCCAGCCAGCCCAGCCAAACTGAGAACTGACTGAGGGAGACATCTTGAGATCAATTTCTGGGCCCCACATGTGCCCTCATGAGCGAGTGTCCTCATGACACACACACACACACACACACACACACACACACATACACACACGCAAAATTCCTTAAAGGTATTGGAATTTTGCCAGTATTGTTGAAGGGAATTTACAACAGAATTCTTGAGCTATAAAAACAAACATTTTAATATAATAAGTATAATATAACTTCTTGGGTTTATGCTTTGTTGTTGTCGTTCTCTAATGTGAATGACTCTAAAGTGTATGTACCCTTACAAAATGCTGTTGTGGAGTTCACGATGTGCGCAGGTGCTTACAGTACACTCCAGTGCCCGATAAATGTGTTTCTTTCTTTTTTCCTTCACTTTCTCTCTCACTCTTTCTTTCTTTCCTTCCCTCCTTTCCTTTTCTATTTTTCTTTCCTTTTCTTTCTTTTGTTCTTTCCTTTCCTTTTCTTTCTTCCTTTGTTTCTTCCTTCCTTTCTTTTTTCTTTTTCTGAGACAGGGTTTTTCTATGTGGTCCTGGCTGCCCTGGAACTTGCCTGGCCTCAAACCCACAGAGCTCCATCTGCCTCTGCCTGCTGAGTGATGGGATTAAAGGCGTGCACCATCCAGATTTTGTTTTGTTTTATGAGACAGTCTTTCTCTGAGGTCCAGGCTGCCTCCAAACTTGAAATTCTCCTGTGTATGTGTCTTGTGTATATGTGTATGTATATGTATGTTTGTATATGTCTGTGTCTATGTATATGTATCTGTGTGCATGTGTTTATGTGTGCATGCATGTATACATATCTGCATGTATGTGCATATCTGCATGTCTACATGTTTGTGTGTGCATTTGTATGTGCATGCATATGTTTGTGTTTGTACATGTGTGTACGTGCGCATATTATGTGCATGTGTGTATGTGTGTGCATGTGTTATGTGTGTGTATGTTTATGTATATGCATGTGTGTATTCTGCACGTGTGTGTGTGTCATGTGTAGGAGGACATGTATGTGTGTCTATACAGTGTATGTGGGTGTATGTATGTGTGCATGTATGTGTGTATATATACATGTGTGCTTGTGTATGTGGGTGTGTATATGTGTGCGCGTGTACATATGTGGGTGTGTATATGTGTGCGTGCGCACATATGATGTTTAGTTAGTGGCCCACTCAACAACATGGGACGGTAGACCCAGAGGCTACAGCGAAGTCAGTCAGGTGCGGGATGGAGGTGGCCAGCCTTCTTTGAGACACAGACTCATATCAATCATTCACATCTCTTTGCAGAAACCCAAAGCTCCAGCATCTCCTACCACAGAGGAGGATGCCTGCCTGTCCTTCCCTAACCCTCCACTGGACCCAGCAAAGATAAGAAGAATAAGCGGCGCCCGTGCGCGCTTCCACAGGGCCGCGCCCCAGGGAGCTCTCTTGCCTGACAGATCCCTTCCTGCTGCTCATTGTAAGGCTGTGTGTGTGTGTGTGTGTGTGTGTGTGTGTGTGTGTGTGTGACAGAGAGAGAGACAGAGACAGAGACAAACAGACAGACTGAGACAGAGAGAAAGAGAGAGACCGTGCAGACCCAAACAGGCACATTGCTTGAATTTGCATACAAAAGCTGTTTGTAATGTAATTTTTTCTGCCCCTAGATGGTTGTTACATGAGCTGAGACCTTGTTAATCTTGGCCAAACAGTAGCGAAGAAAATTGTTTATATATTCCTTTCCAGTTATTTATACAGCATCTAAATACCAATTGAAAAAATTTACTCTGTAAGAAAAGAATGTTAGGGTGTGTTCAAATGGATGGCTCACATGTCTGAAGGAGATAACTTTTAAGCTAGAGTTTGAAAAGTTGTTAGTTTCACTAGAAATCAAGGAGAACTGGACCACTGCGGTGGCTCAGCGCGTGAGGGCGTCTCCCACCAAGCCTGACAACTTGAGCCTGTCCCAGGAGCCCAAGTGGTGGAGGGAAAGAACCGACTCCTGACCTCAGCCGTCCTCTGACCTCCACACCTGGGCCTCGGCTCCTTGAGTGTGCACACATGCAATAAACAAACAAAAACAAAAAATACTTTAAGGAAATCAAGGAGAACTGTGAGTCTCCTAACACAGCCAATCCAGCTTTAACGGCTTGCTGACCTTGCAAACACGTGAGCCTAAGCTGAACAGGGCTTTTGTTCGTGCTGTACAAGTGCTGGCCGTGTGCCTGGACCCACAGCGGAGGCTAAAGGCATCGCCTTGTAAGGAGTATATCAGGTGGATGGACGAACTTCAGGCTCCCAGGTGCAGGGACAGAAGGACTGATTGGGGGGATGGTAAGAAGTGTAGAGGGTGACCCTAACATTGAAAAAAAAAAAAAGAGAGAGAGGAAGCAGAGCACAGGCAGTGGGAAATGTCAGGATCCACAGCGTGCTGGGTAGGTTCTGCGGCCCAGGACTTGAGCTGCCGAGCATGCCGCTGCTGGCCTGCAAGCTGGTCTCTTACTGTTGCAGTCAGCGGCGGGGAAGGCTGCTGTAGTGGCAGCTGACTGAACTGGGCCACCCTCACTAGGAATCATTGAGGAGGGGTCGGAGCATTGTGACGCAGGTGGCCTAAAGCACCCACCTGGGCGGCACGCCGCCATCCACCATCTGAGCACACTGCTTGCCTGACTAGAAAACTTTTTGGTTTAGATCGCAGCTGACACTTGGAAGGCAGCAAATTTATGTCGTCTTGTAAAAAAAAAAATCAGATGGGGTGGTACCAATCTCCTACACAGCCGAGCTCAGTGGTGTCCACATAGCCCGGGGTAGGATCAGTGGCTCTCGTGTATCCCATGTCCCCATGAGGTCATCATCATAGAGGAAGAGGCGGGGTCTGTGAGGAAGCGGGGGTGTTGTGCAGCTTACCACCATGCTCTAACAAATCGGGTCAGGCAGTTTGAGGTCCCCCTTTGACTCTCTTCCAATACAGTCACTCACTCTGCTGTTTGTTGAACACCTTCCTTAGTGCAGGCTGCCATCCTAGACCAGCAGAGTCCTGTCCTCCGAGAATCTTCAGGGAGGGATGGTAGAGAAGTGATGTCAGAACAATGAGTGAGGCTAAGGCGTTCTCACGAGGCCGTGGGGAAGATAAAGTAGATAGCAGGGTATCGAGTGACTACAATTTCCTTTGGCTTGTGGCCTTGTTGAGGTACCTGGAAGAGGTGACATATGAGCCGATGTGTTCCCTAATGAGACTGAGGCAGCCACGGACAACCTTCAGTCAGAGTGTCTATGTCAAAAGGAGAGGCAGGCAGAAAGGCCTAGGAGTAAGCTCAGGGGCAGAGGATGGCTTAGCCATTGAGAGGGGGATGGAGCTGGGGCTTCGGGCTGTGCAGGGAACATGTCCTGGGAACTTGGACAAGTAGTTATGACTTGATTCTGAGGCCCATCATGCATGGCCAGGACAACAGCCAAGGCAGTGAGAACACGGCTTCCAGTTTTAGTTGAAGAGCAGATCTCAGTTTTAGCTGCACGAGAGCCTCACCCAGGGAACTTTAAAGTATAGAGATGATCCCCCAAATATCGTCTTCCTGGGGAACCTTTCCCTCGTCCTACCTCTTGGATCTGATGTCAGGCCAGTCAGACCAGAAGGGTTGGTAACTCCAGAAGGAAATATCTTGCCAAGATGAGAAGGGAAGATGGAACCCAAGGTCTCTCACGAGTGAACTCGCCTACACCCGAGCTCACTGAACTGTACGGCTTGCTTACTTGTTCCTCTTGATGTGAGGGTGACCAGGGAGAGAAGCCTTCCCCCTCCCTTCTGTGCACCCGGGCCCTGGCTTGAAGGCCACAGCACCTCCAGTTCCTGGCTGGAAGCCAGGGCCTCCTATCCCACTGGGGTGGGACTTTATCCACTCTGGTTGGCAGGTGCCCATCTCTCCGACTTCTGTGTCTATACTCAGGAAATAATGACAGTAAAAAGCCATTGTCATTTCAAAAGGCACATCAATTAAAAAAAAATAATGGATGGGCCCCACCCTGGGATCCCTGTCAGTCATGCAGGTGCTATATATATTCTCCATTGTCTAGAAAAGTTGCTTTGTTGGGTCACTGAGGCCCCAAAGCCATCCAAGCCTGGAGACCCAGGGTGAGCCGCTCCCTGGGCATGAAGTCATTTGTAGCTGACACCCGTGGGTGGGTGGGGCTTGGGTGTGGTATCAGATTTGGAATTCTTGGGTTGAGAATGGGAAGGGGCAGAGGCTGCCCCTAGGCTCAGGCAGTCCCAAAGCTCAGTCCTGGGGGCAGGTTTGAACCAACAGCTAACACCTCCCCAGTTATACAAAGCAGAGGCCTCAGGGCAGACGCCACTGTACCTCAGTCCCTGTCACGTTTTCCATCACGAAGCCCTCTGAGGCTTCCTAAAGATGGATGAGTCTGTGTTCTCCTCTCCTGCCACTCCCAGCGCCTTTACCACATCTTGCCTCATCCCTGCCTTGCTCCCTTTAGACGTGTCCTCAGCCCTTGGGGGGGGGGAGGGGGTTTGCAGGGTTTCAACACAAGACCTTGGGAGCTGCCAGCTGAGTCTAGAGATGCCGGGCTCCTAGCCGCTGGTGCTGTTAGCAGACACCCTACCCCTTTCTATCAGAGGACCATGAGAAATGTTGGCATTCCAGGTCCCATAAAGCATTAAGAGGTCCACAAGGAAAGCCATCAGATAACATCAGCCGCCTTGTGCAAAATCCTTCGGTGCCTCTAAGAATGATGAGTTCCAGAAATTTCCAGAGGATGCTGTTGGCAAAATGCTAGTAGCTGTCCCTTGGGAATAGGTCTAGAGTTCAGGCAAGTCAGGGCAGCACTGCTCATTCCTGGCCCTGTGGGGGCCTGGACTCAGGATCAAGCCACAGAGGGGCAAGAAAGCCATTCAAGACCGAAGGCTTTACAGTGTTCGTTCAGCTTGCGTTTCCCCAATTGACCTGGCCGTGGAGTCTCTCAGGAACCTTTAAAAGGCAGAAAACTTTATGTAAAGTCTGAACAGCAAATATTTTAGGCCCTGCAGGCCATTCCATCTCTGTCCAGTATATTCAACTGTACCATTACGGTATGGAAGTAGCCATTGCTCACTTATGGCCACTGAAATTTGAACTTTATATGATTTTCATTTGTCCTGATATATTGTCATTCACTTTAATTCCCTCTACCCCCACTCCAGCCCAGCCACTCAAAATTATAAAAGGCCATTTTTATTCTGCAGGTTATTATAAAACATGAGGCCAGGCAGATTTTCTGGCTCCTGCCCAAAAGGGATGAAGTCCCAATTTCCTTACAAGCACATCTGTCATCTAGCCCTAGCCTGATAACGTACCAGGCCCCTGTCCAGCCTCTCCTCCTGCGTCCCAGCAGGAAAGGTGTGGTGGCTGGGCCAGCTTTATCAGTGGCGGCAGGAGCATGAGGCTCGTTGTTCATATCTCAGCAGAGAAGATGCGGGACACAGGCCCTGGGAGGTAAATCTTAAAGCCTGTTCCCTGGCAGCCTTCTCCTCCCATCGAGGCCCCGCCCACTAAACGTTCCCCAACCTCCCAAAACAGTGCCACCATCTGGGAACCAAGTGTTCAGACACGGGAACCCCTGCTGGACATTTCCCATTCAGACCCTAACAGTGCACCCCCAGGAAGCCCACTTCAGTCCCCACACTCCCAGCTGGCTCAAGCCACAAGCAGTATTATTTGCTGGGTTCAGTGCAAAAGACAGATCTGGAGAACTTTGTTTAAAAACCAACATTTTCAGCTTTTAGCCAGAAGGTTAAACGGAGCAGGGCGTCCATCTGCCCTACACAGGTCATGCGCGCTGGATGCTGGCTTATGTTCCTGTTTGTAAAAGTTGTTTGTTTCTTACGGATGCCTCTGAGACCACATCTCCTCTCTGCATTATGCCCAGATCCACTCCCAGCCTCTGCTTCATTCTCTGTCACCTCGCTACCTGTCCAGAACGCTGGACTATGTTTATTCCAGCACATCTGCCTCTGTGTCTCCCTTACTAGATCAAGCAGCTACTGTTGGCAACTTGCTTTTCCATGTTGCTTGTGCTCTGTAGTTGTGCAAAGGGTGCCTGAGGCAGAGCTGTTCCGGTGTCATAACACTGGAGGGAGGTGCCTGTCTCCTCTTGAGGTTTATCCATGGTCTACAGAGGAGTTTACAGATGTCCACATGTGTTTCAGGGGATACTGAGAGTCATATGTGCTTAGGGGCTTTTGGTTGGTCGTTTGCCTGTCTGTTTTCCAAGTTTGGGTTTGTTTTTGTAAATATATATTATTTTGTTTTTATGGATATTTTTGCCTGTATATGTGCCTAGTATCTCTGGAGGCCAGAAGAGAGTGTCTGGGCCCCTGGAACTGGAGTTACAGATAGCTGTGAGCCCCCATGTGGGTGCTGGAAACCAGGCCCTCTGGAAGAGCAGTCAGTGCTGGTAACCGCTGTGCCACCTGTCCAGTCCTGCTTGTTTGTTTTCTGAGATGGGCACTGTAGCCCATGCTAGCCTTGAACTTTGAGCAGTCCCCCAGCCTTCGCCTCCAAAGGGCTGAGATTACACGTGTGTGCCACTGTGACCGGCTGTGCTCAGCTCGTGGCTCTCCATCTGGAGTCAGAGCGTCAGCCCAGCTCTCCTTTGTGGGAACAATGACAGGTTTCTTAAGTACATATAGGGTGAGTGAGCAAAGGAAATACTAAAACCAGAGTGAGAGACTGTCATGCGCTATAACCTAAAGCAGCATGTGCTTCGTAAAGGAGCTGAGAACAGTTGATAGGTAGCTGTTTAAGGTGGTGTGGTACACAGGCACAGGCCAGAGCTCAGGGTTCTTGGGCTCCAGTGATAATGACACTCCAGTGATAAGGCCAAGTTCTTACGTCGTACCAGTCGCTGCTCTAGGTCCCATCAGTTAACTCTTACTGCGTGCCCCAGATATGGGGATGGCTGGGGAAAGTGAGAAAGTCAAGCACTGTGAACCCATTTCAGAGCTGATACTCGGGTGGTTGCCCTTGAATGGAGTCTGATGGAACTTAAGCCGAAGCTCTTACCCAAACACACAAAACACACAAAAGCAAAAGCCCCAAGCCAGGCAGATGTGCTGGTGACCTGGAGGCTCCATCTTGTTTTGATGCCCTTAGGTCACTTTCCATCACCCCTTCCGGTTCTTCATTTTCTCATCGCGACCAATTTTTCTTTTCAAGACAGGGTTTCTCTGTGTAGCCTTGGAACTTGCTTTATAGTCCAGGCTGGCCTCAAACTCAGAGAGCCCACAAGTGCTGAGATTAAAGGTGTGTGCCACCACTACCGGGCTAGCTCCACCGGGCTGGGTTCCTTCCCACGGCAGAGTGCGGTGTTTTGAAAGGGGGAGAAGGGGGGTGTTAGGACGGGCAGGTAGAAAGGGTCCTTGTCTTCCTTGGCTTCTCTTTTGCTAGTTTCTAAATGAGTACGGAAAAAAATTTGAAAGTGTTTTTCCACACAAAGCTCGCTTCATCTCAACCCCCATCTATACTAGGGAGATTTAGCCTCTCTTCCCTTTTGGGGCACACTGGGCTAGTGGCCAGCGGATGACAGGCCACCCTGGTGTCCCTTTGCTGAAAGAGAAGTTGCATTTTCAGTAGAAGAGTCCGCACGCCTAAACTCGGCACGAGTTCCATCTCGAAGGTGGGCTGGGATCCTGCCAACCTGCCCACCCCTCTTTGAGGAAGCCATGGTAATGGGTCACAGTGTTACTGCTCTGGGACCCTGGGACCAGGAGCCCCTCTCCTCCTCCAGGACGTCTCTCCAGGTCTTCCTCCAGCACCCTAGGCTCCCTGCTACCTCAGAGCCTTTGCACCAACTGGTTGCCCTGCTCTGAGCGCTATCACCTTCTCTCACAGCATCAAGTGTCCCCCTTCCTTGCTCTAACGGCCTCTACCCATTAAAATTGCTCTCTGTCTTCTTCTCAATCCCCTTCTCCACTTTTCTTCTTCCGATTTCTGTTTGCATGTATTAAAACACATTGTGTACTTTAATTGCGATTGTATACTATTTATAAAAAGACCTATGTACTTGTACTTGACACTCTATAAATTAACATATATACATATATGTATATTTGTATACATACAATATATATGTATATTTAGTGATATGTGTATATATATATATATATATATATATACACACACATATATACATACACACACATACACACACACACATCACTAAATCTCATGTATCTCAGACTGGCCTAGAACTTGCTCTGCAGTAAAGGCTAACCCTGAACTCTTTAACCTTCTCCTCTCCCTCCCAATTGGCTGGGATGACAGATTTCTGCTGTCATATTCAGCCACAAATTATTTTGAAAGGGAAAAATGCTAACATTATGTTTAAGAAGAAACATCGTTATGGGGCCCAGGAGTATTTAAGAGGGATAGGTAGTTTATAAACTTAAGTCCCTGTGTTTTCCTCCAGGTAAACTCCAATAGTTAATATGCTATTCATTTTTTTATCCTCAGAAATGATGGTGCCAACCCTGAAATTGTAGTAGAGTTTTATTATGTACAGAGAAGCTTTGGCCATAAAAGCTCCAGACTTGATTACAAGCAGTGGGTGACTTTTATGTAAAGCTATAGACTGCAAACAAAACAATGAAAGTAAGAAATGTGCTGAGAAAACATTTCCTTGCTCTTTCAGCAGAGACCATGGTGGAATCCAAAGAAACTGTTACCGAGGGGGGCTCGACAGCAAAAACAAACGGGGCTTTAACAGCACCAAATGCCACCGCCCACTCACAGCGTCACCCAGTCCAGCTTCCCTTTGACCAAGGCTTCAGAGAAACCAAAGAGCAAGTCATGTTCATGGAAACATCCCCGCTGTCTCATCTCCGAAACGAAGGGTCAGTATTCTTTGTTGTGGATTTTTGGGTCATCAGTGACCCATTTTTTGTTGTCACTCACCGGTGGCTGTCTGTCTTCCGTAGAAGATTGCTTTGCTCTCTCCCTGTTAAATAAGCACGTTTGTAAGTTAGTGCCTAATAGGAGAGGGTTGGTTTTTTGTTTTGTTTTGTTTTGTTTTGTTTTCCTCTCTCTCTCCTTATGGTTGAAAAGGGTTGGCTTTTTCCCTGTTTTGTCTTTAGAAACCCTGCTATGGGTAAAAGCCAAAATAATGCATCATAGGGCTACAGATAAAGGTGAAGAGGGATGGTCTCAAAGAGGCCCTGAGTGACTGACGAGGAAGCCCTCTGTGTGTGTATTATTTGGGGTTCTTGTTCAGCTTGGCATCTCCCATGATCTTCCTTCTGCTCTAGTCCACAGTTACACACTTCCCAAGAGTGGACACTGTGTTATTCTCCAGTAGAAATTTGGTTTAAATATTTATGGTGCTAACTAGTAGCTAAAACAGGAGCCTCCCATGGGGTTGGTTTGCCCTCATACATGAATGGCTGGGAATGATTTTATGCATCATTTTTCTTATATGGAACTTCCTGGAAGCATGTTCTTACCATGCTGAGGGTTTATGGAGAAAACAGGATACTGTGTGGGGACCATGCTCATGCTCAACCTGGTGCTTTCCTAAAACCTTAAACCTAGAGGTCAGAGTATGAGAGAATAGTCACGGTGTTAAGATAAGCAGGGTCACTCAGTTAAAGATCTCTTTCTCTCTCTCCCTCTCTCTCTTTTTCTAGAACTTTCCATTGGGTCATCATGGATAACTGCCCAGTTCAAATTTGTTTAACAAGATTAAATTCCACAGGCCATTTTAGGACCCTTGTTGCTCTCATCTTAGATTTTGGATCTGACATTGGCTCTTCTGCATGGACCACTGAACCCCCCCCCCCCCCCCCCCCCCCTCTCCCCACCCCCACCCCCGGAGTGGCCACTGGCAGCCTGTTCCTTTAGTTGAACTGACCTTGTCTGCTGACACAGCCTAAAGAGTGTCACACGGAGAATTTATATTAGGCAACCTAGAAGCCCTCGTGGTGTTGCTTTGCATGCAGAACATTTTTCAAATTAAGGGAAAGATGACATAGCTCCTTAAGTGGAGGAGAACAACGTCAAATTAGGACTCCTGGAGTCAGAACACAAGACATCAGACAGGCCCTAACAGACAGCCTTTTTCCTGTTGGTGAGCGAGATTCAGGCTGCGGAGCCCATGGCCCCAGCATGAAAGGCAGCAGGGCTTGTGCCCCACACAAAAAGAGATCATTTATCCCGCTTCACCCATCCACAAACAGACAAGATCGAATCCATTTGTTTGTTTATTTCCGTGAAACTTCAGATGTTGTGAAACAATCAGACATGCCAGGGTTCATTATGCCTCTGTCTTTCTGGGACAGCAGGGGCATTTTAGTGACATACTTTATCCCACGGACAGCAAAGGACAAACCAACCCATTAGGGGCCGGACAGGCGCTTCCTCCTGCCTGTTCAAAATACCCACGCTTTGGCAGCATCTCTAATTATTTTCCTTTTGTCTCATGGGATGGCTGTGCGGAGTTCGGAGTTTGCTCTCAGCAATAGTTCTGAGCTCTGCCCCCTTCCAGCACTGGGTGGAATTTTCTGAAGACATGCCAACAGAAAAGTTTATGTGGTGGGATTAAAACAAACGAGAAAATGGAAACTCTTAGCAATTCTCTCATTAATTACATTTGTGGATCAGTCAGGGACACTCAATAATTGTTTCTTGTAAACATTTAAGTGACTGTAATTCCAAGAAATGGCCTTCACTAAACAGTGGAGTATTCCCATGTTTGCTGGGTGCACCCTCCCCTCAGTTAGCAAGGGTTTTTGTTGTTGTTGTCTTCGTTGTAGTTTGTTTATTTTTTAATTTTTTTCATCTTAATCCTGAGACTGTAAAGTGAAAAAAATTAAGATTCTTGTTAGTGAGGTGTGCTGGTAGGAGACAGTAGACAAGGGGCGGAGTTGAGTGTGGACCGAGGAAGAGGAGAGTAAGCAGATGGACGGGACAGAGAAAAGGAAGGACCAGTTACTCCCCAAGTGAGGACCTCTCGGCTTCTCTGGCTCGGAAGAGGAAAGAATTGTTTGTCTCAGTAAACCTGGATTACACACCTTTAATCTAAAATATGGGCAATTCTGACATTTGAGATGTCCTAGAGTTTAACTTTGATGCTTGTTATGGAAAAAGAATATTTGCTTAAGCAAGGTAGCGTTGGAAATGAAGCGGTGGAACCCTGAGAGAGAAGCTGCTCCCAATCACTCAGGGAGCCTGTGTGTGTGTGTGTGTGTGCGTGCGTGTGTGTGTGTGTGTGTGTGTGTGTGTGTGTGTACTAGTTACTGTGATCTCCATGTGTCCATTAGAAAGCCATAGAGGTTTAGAAGGCCTGTTCCTCACCCACACTCCATTATTTCCTACCTTATTGCCACATGGATAGGAAACAGCAGAGCTGGCATTTTGTAAAAATGTGGGGGCCTGTCTCCACCCACTGCTTTATCCAAACCCCTTTCTGTAAATGTGTAAGTACTTCTTAGGGCCTTGTAATGCTGTTCAGATTGTCGTGGTTTGGAAATGAGGGCTGGGGAGTGCAGGTGTCGTAATCAGTGTCATTACCTGGGAGTGGATTATGGGAACTGTGTGGACTGGTCCCCGGGAGCCGGAATCTCTGGACTCAGGTTCCAGAGTCTCCCTGACTCTTGGTTTAGTTGTACGCCCTTGGCAAGTCACACAACATTCCCACAGGCTCTGTTTCATAGTCTATAAGATGGAGGTGACGGATCCTATTCTCACTTCTCCTTGGAGCCTCCACTACAGGTCACCAAGGCTTGAAAGCTGTGCCCATAAGATGTCCAGGGCCCTCAGCATGGCTGGAATAAAAACTAAGAGCCTAGGTGGTAACACAAACTGACCTTAGGGAGGTAGACGCAGGAGGGTCAGGATGAAGGCCAGTCTCCCTTGTGGGTCAAGTTGGAGGTTTTGCTATATAAAACCCTACTTCAAAAACTAGTGAAAGGGAGGAGGAGGAAGGAAAGATGGAAGGAAGGAAGGAAGGAAGGAAGGAAGGAAGGAAGGAAGGAAGGAAGGAAGGAAGGAAAGAAGGAAGGAGAGACTCCTGGTTAAAAAAGCAAAAGCATGCAACAACAACAAAAGCAAAAGCAGCAAAGATTTAAAATCAATGTCAATGAAATAAGAAAAAAAAAATGGCTCCAACCCTGAACCATGGACTTCAGCTTTGCCATGGGGGCCAAGCTTGCTTGCTTTGCATGTGATAAATGCCCGGGCTTTGTTGGGGTGAATGTAGGCAATTCCTCTCTGGCCTGACCTCCCGGGGCCTGCTAGCAGAGTCCTCCAGTGTCCAGCTCTAGAGGCTGATGAAGAAATAAGCACAGTCTCTGTAAGTCAGCCAGGCTGCCGGGCCTCTCTGGGTTGTGCCAAGGCTTTTGAGGAGGGTGGCCTCTCTCCAGGCTCTCAAGCTTAAGATGACCCCATGGAGAAGGAAGCCCTACACAAGCAGTCAGAGCCAAGGATGGAGACAGCAGTCAGATTCAATGATGGTCATTAGGCTTCCGGGTCCACCTCTTCCTGACAGCTGACAGCCAAAGGATTCCTCTTTCCTCCTTTCTCTTCCTTCTTTTCTTGGGTCTGGGATAGGGGCAGTTTATATACCTCAGATTAGGATTTTACCTGGAACATCACAGTCCAAAAGTCTAATTAACTTCCCAGACTCTATGAAATCTAGATGAAAACCCTAGATTGAGGGTTGAGGCACACCTCAGACTCTGAGAAAGTTTCATTAGGAGTGAGTCTCTTTCTTCACTAAGTGGCCTGCAATAGGAGAGATGAGATCTAAGGGTGTGGGCGGGCCCCAGAGAGAAGTCAGAATGCACCCATGGGAGACTCCATTCAAGATACAGATCATGAAATGACTGGAGGGTGGGAGGGGCAGGAGGGTGACATGCAGGAGAGAGGGCCTGGGAGGGATGGAGGAGAAAGAGGTTCAGTGAAACCCATATGTGGGAGGAAGCGTGAATACGAATCTGACGCTGAGAATTTCACAGTGATGGTTTGAGCATCCTAACGTCCTTCATTATTTTTTATTGAGATCTTTTAGAAATTAACATCTCTTGGGAAGAGTCATTTCACCTGGAGCTCTGCAGTTCCTACAGTTCCACCTCAGTTTCTGTTTTCTGTGTGAATGAGAACTGCAGGATGCTGTCTATCATGAAAGAGGGTGTTGTGTGTGTGTGTGTGTGTGTGTGTGTGTGTGTGTGTGTCAGTGGCTGCTCTACACACACCAATGGAACAGACCTCCCTAAGTCAACCAACTGTTCAACTGCTTCAGCTTCACAAGTAAAGACAAATAGCAAAAGGATAGGAACTCTCCTGGGACTCAAGCTTAGCTCCGCGAACACAGCAAAGACAGAGGAAGAAAATGTATCACTAAAGAAAGGCATTAAGAGTCTCAAGCATTCTTCATCATCTCGCGAGAGGTCCAGATGGCTCAATCATTTTGTCTTTGTGGGCAGGGGAGGGGGAGCTGGAGCACTTTGGCTTGCAGAAATTCCAGTTGGAAATCATAAGCCCACAAGATCAAAATAAACTATAGTACTCAAAAAGGAAACGCAAGAGAAATGCATGGATGGAGAAAAGAAAGCCACAGAGAGACTTAAAAATCAGAACAAAAGAAGCTGCAAGTGTGAGCTGTAGGGGCCAGGCCAGAAGAAATCACACAGAAAGAGTCAGGAAAGGGTACAGCTAGGAGGATGAGTAGGGAGACTGAGAGGGAGACAGAAGGAAGAAGCCTGTGTTTTTGAAGAGAATCTCCCTCTCCTGCAGGTTCCTTCCTAGCAAGGTCTTACGTGGAGCGGAGTACCAGGCACTCCTGTTTTCTCAGAGTGTGCAACAACCCACGGAAAATCAGAGTAAATGAACAAAAGAAAAG